GGGGCAGTTCTTCTGCCCAGGCGTTAGAGTGAGTTGGTTTCCCTAGCTCGCGAGTTGAAATAATCTTGGAGTATACGCTTCTCAATAGCTCGGGGGACCTGGAGCTCGCGTTGTAGCGAGCTCCCCCTATAGCGAGTTATGACGTAGCGAGCTGCTCTACAGGCTCGTTACTTAGTTGTGGTCAAGCCATGCTGCTGAATTGTTGCTCGTGCTGAGTCAGGTCCACGTGTCATCATCTCAGTAGGTCGGGTCACATTATCCTCCATCAATTGTCCCCCACTCCTCGAGCTAAGAGTGTTGCCTTAGCGCGAGGAGTTCATGAAGTGTGACGGATTGATTTGACCGAAATTCAAACTTGATTGACTGCTCATATTAAATGTGTGCGCGGGAATCGGGGGATTTTCTGGCTTTTCGAATACCGAAAACGTGCTGAAGCGGCTCTTAACTCCGGATGTCGTGCAGGCGTCATTACCTTAATCATGGGATACATGCAGCTAGTCACATTTCGGTTTCAGAAGGTGTGCGGTCAGCTTGATTGCGAACCATCAGATCTGCCTCGATCTAGGCCGTTGATTCGGGGGCATAGTGACTATAAATAGGAGGACCCCCTGGGCCTCATTTCCTTTCATGCCATTTTGCTGCCTTCGGATTCTGAGGTCGTGCATCCATCTAGTCTACCCGAGTTCCTCAGTTTACTTCATTTCGTCTCTTCCGGTGAGTCCCAATCACTGTCAATCATGTCTGGTGTTGACTCGCGCCGCCTCCTCTCGAGCAACCAGAAGCGCAAAGTGAAGAGGTCGTGCCCCGACCGGACCCCCACCTCTAGGGGTACCGAGTTCGGGTCTGCTGAGCCAGACTTAACCTCTCTGCCGCCCGAATTTCCATCGCCTCCATCTGAAGGAGGTGCTGGCGGGGTTAGCCCCAAAGAGGGCGAGCTCCCGCAGCAAGGGGTGATCCCTCCTGGTCATTCTCAGCCGTTTCCCTACCTGCGGTTCCCAGTAGGGAACTGGGAGGGTGTGAATGATTTCATTGTGGCTTGACGGAAGAGCCGAAGGGCGATCTGCTATGAGGAGGTCGCTAAGTGGGGGGCGAAGGAGACTAGGGATCTTGCCGCACTCACCGCCACTCACTGTATGGTGGTAAGTGGTCCTTCTCTTCTTCTCGTATTTCGCTTCCTTTTGTTGTCTTCTGACTTCAATTTCTTGTTGGCAGGTGAACACCGCCATCCACGCTATGTCCCTCCAGACGCACGTCCACTCCGGCAACGCTCGCAACTAGAGGGTCATCGTTCAGAAGCTCCAGGGCGAGCTCGACGGGACTCGGGGCGAGGTCCTTCACACTCGCAAGGGGAGCGAGTCCTAGGAGTTGCTCGTCCGAGACCTGGAGGCGCAGATCACCAGGCTTTCTAAAGAGAGCGCACGCTACAGGGAGGAGTCGTCGAGGGTGGCAGCAGAGAGGGAGCTCCTTCGCCAACAGGTCCGGGACTTGGAGTCCACTCTTTTGAACCGAACTCGGAACTTCGACAACATGGTGGAGGCCGAGCGAGAGAAGGCAGTCTGGGACTTCAAGGACTCCCAGGAGTATCACGACCTCCAAGTGGACTATGGCTCGAGCTCGTACTGCTCCGGATTCAAGCTCTGCCGCTGGTTGGTCCGAAAGAAAATTTCTGGGCTCAACCTCGATGGCATTACCATGAAGGGTCTGTCTCCCGAGACGGCACACCAGGCGGAGGAGGAAGAGCCTGACTCTTCGGAGGACGAGGACGAGGTGGAGAAGGTGGACCCCTGAGGCTGGCGGCGTTGGTTTTCTGCTCTGATTTCTGGTGGCCCCCAGGTGCCATAAACCCGGTCTTGAAAAGATCTTGTTGGGCGGTTGTGCCCTTTTCACCTTCTACTAAACTTTCTCGAGCTATTTAGCTCGTTTTTTTTTTTTGAAATGGTAATGAAAGTCTTTCCTTTTTCTTCTAAGTATGGTGTGCTCCCTTTATTTTTGCTAAAGCGATCTCGTTACTTGAGCTTTCAGAGCTACATGCCCGAGCTGTTCTTTAACGTTTAAGGCATCCCTATGGTGTACCGCGAAGTGATTACCATGTGTGCCCGAACTATGCGTTCGTTGGTTATTCCTTAGTTCAACCAACGTACTGAGACGAGCTATGCTTCATGGGTTTAAATCCGAGCTACTTACGCTTCTGATATTTCATACTTTGCCTTCATCGCTGAAGTGGCCAAGTCTTTCTTGATGCCAAGGTCTCAGTTAGCTCGGTGTTTTAGCCCTTATGCTGAGGGGGTGACTTATACTCTACCCTTGAAGTTTGCCCATGCCATGGAGGTGACTGGGTCTTGTTGCGCCAAGGTCATGTTGGCTTAGCATTTTGGACCTTAAGCTCTATGAGTGACTCATGGTCTACTCAATAGTTACAGGTAATATTGCCTTAAGTTGACAATATTCCATGCCCGAGGTACTTGTTTTCCTTCAACGGTTTCAAGCTCGTATGTTCATTCCCCGAGAACTCGTTTCACCCGATAAGGTCCTTCCCAATTCGGTCCGAGCTTATGCCGGGCTCAGGTACCATAACTTTTCGAAGGACCAGGTCGCCAACGCGGAGGTTCCGCTTCTTGATCCTGGCGTTATAGTACCAAACTACTCTTTGTTGATAAGTTACGGTCCTAATATATGCAAGGTCCCTTACTTTATCGAGTAGGTCGTGGTTGGTACGTAGCTCGTCTTCATTTGCCTTATCGTCATATGCTTCCAGTCGTAGCGAGGGAACCTCAATCTCAGCTGGGATGACTATTTCGGTGCCATAGGTGAGGTTGAAGGGGGGTTCTCCTGTGGTGGTCTTCTCTGTGGTTCGGTAAGCCTATAGAATACTGGGTAGCTCGTCTGCCCACAGTCCTTTAGCTCGGTCTAGGTGCGCTTTGAGTCCGCGAAGAATAGCTCTGTTCGTAACCTCTGCTTGATTGTTTGCTTGAGGATGTGCAACCAAAGTTCTGTCGGATCCCCATGTTTTGGCACCAGTTTTGGAATTTGATGTCCTCGAACTACTTACCATTATCAGAAATCAATACCCGAAGTAACCCGAAGCGGCACACTATGTTCTTCCAAAAGAAGTTCTGAATGTTTCAGGCTGTGATTGTTACAAGGGGTTGGACTTCTACCCACTTGGTGAAATAATCCACTGTGACCATTAGGAACTTCCTCTGGCCTATTGCTGGTGGAAACGATCCAAGTATATTGATGCCCCATTGTGCAAAAGGCCACGGGCTAGTAAGATACTTGAGATCGGTAGCTGGCTGATGGTGGATGTTGGCATGTCTCTGGTCAGCTTAACGGGATTATCTCACAGTTGGCTCCTCCTACAACACCCCAGCTTAACGGTGTTTCAGAGAGGAGGAGTAAGACATTGTTAGACATGGTCCGGTCACTTCTCACACACTCAGAATTGCCCACATCCTTTTGGGGATATGCGTTGGAGACCGCAATTTACGTGCTGAATAGGGTTCCAACCAAATCGGTTCCGAAAACACCATACGAACTATGGATCAGAAAGAAACCAAGTGTCAGACACTTGAAGATTTGGGGTTGTCCTGTGCACGTTAAAAGAATGAGTGCGGACAAGTTGGAATCCAATACCAGTCGTTGCTTGTTTGTAGGCTACCCAAATGATTCAATGGGTTATCTTTTCTATGACCCAAGTGAGCATAAAGTGTTCTGCAGTCGAAATGTCATTTTCTTAGAGACAGATTATATCTTGGACACTCATCGTCAGGAAATAGTTATTGATGAGAAGAGCTCAGGATCAGTGGGAGATGTCCCACAGGTTCCAGGTAGTGACCAACCTAGAAGATCCACTCGGGTATCCAGGCCACCAGTCCGTTATCGTTATGACCAGAATAGTTACCTGGTGGAAGCCTTGACTAGTGAGGAGGATCCCATGACTTACGCGGAAGCTATGTTGGACATAGATTCACAGAAGTGAGTGGAGGTCATGAGAGCTGAGTTGGACTCAATGGAGGCCAATGGAGTCTGGACTCTAGTTGATCCGCCCTCCGGGGTAAAAGCAATTGGTTGCAAATGGATTTATAAGAGAAAGAAGGGCTCCGATGGTAGTATTGAGACCTACAAAGCTCGTTTGGTGGCGAAAGGGTATACTCATAAAGAATGTATCGACTATGATGAAACATTTTCGTCTGTGACCATGCTTAAATCTATTAGGATCCTACTAACTGTAGCAGCATACCATAACTACGAGATTTGGCAAATGGATGTCAAAACCATGTTCCTAAATGGAGATCTTAGTGAATATATCTACATGTAGCAGCCGCAAGGCTTCATTGCTGCTGGTTAGGAACATATGGTATATAAACTTAATAGATCCATATATGGACTTAAGCAGACTTCTAGGAGTTGGAACATCCGTTTTGACTCTACCGTCAAATCGTTTGACTTTGAGCAGAATCCAGAGAAAGATCAAGAAAAGTTTTTGATATCAGTCTTTTTGGTTTGGTGCTCATTGTCATCCAAAGGATTTTTGTGAAGGATTCAGTGTATAGGACGCACCTTGCTGGTTCTGTTCCACAGTTGCTGTATCATCTTCAGCAGGAGTAGATCTTGGTTCCTTTTTTGGGCGTGAACACCAATTTTGAGAGAAATTTTTTCTCTGGATCAGGTATAATTACTCCCTTCACTTTTAATTTAGATCTGATTCGGGAACACTGGCATGTCCACTTGGGATTGGTACGTGGCATTTTACACACAGAATTGCGAATTTACATATGCCCCCCCAAAAACGACTTACAATGAGATGAGATGTGAAAGTGGGGCGCGTGTGGGCGTAGATGTCAATTCCATAATGGCTTCAGATCGTTGAGGAGGACTATTACGTGGGGCCTTTCTGCTGTCCAACATGTTGCCACGTGGTAAGATTTAAAAATCGTTCAGATGTACCCGCCTAGTAAAGTTGCCGTGCCGAGAGGTGGAAGAAATGTCCACAGTCCAGCCCATGCCCCGTGAAATATCAGACGCGACCAAACTCTCCTCCCGTTCAAACTTCAATCGTGCATTGACTTGACAAAGAGTCGGCAGGCTGAGCCAGTCATCTATTATAAAATTCAGGGAGTGTCGTGTCTCGTGTCCCGTCCTTGCCATTTCTTCCCTTTCTCGTCCTAAACCAACCACCGAAGACCGAACCAACGTTGCGTAATTCCGCAATCACGCGACCCGAATCTGTGCGTTTGTTTTCTCTCATTCTATCCATCTTGATCTCGTCAAATCCGTCTTAGTTTCTGTAATTCACGGCTCCCTGTCTGCATGGTTTTTCTATTGCTTCTCACATCTGAGAACAGACTGTAAATCATACGAAGAAGAAAGGAAAGGGGCGAACCCTAAGAGCTCATTGGGACGAGCATGTCAAAGGGTTTACCTTACTCGATGAAAGATGTTGATTACGACAACGCCAAGTTCCGTCATCGTTCATTCTTCAAGGTCTGTACTTATTTCATTTTAAAGTTGCCGAGTTTCGTGGCAGATCTCGATCTTGGTACACTTGTTTTGTTGAATTGCGCTTGCTGTAATTATTTACTTTCGTTGTTTTTCGTGAATTTGTGGGAAATTTATCTAATTTTGTGCGTGGGGTGAATAATTTTTGGCTGATGTTAGTGCATTAATTGGATTGGAGGTCGGGGTGGATTAAATAATTTGCAGTATGATGTCGTTTGAAATTTGGATCGTCGTTGGTGTTGCTTATTTTTCTCCAATACTGGAGACTTGGGGAATGACCACACTCACTGCTATTTTTGTGTTAGCGCAAAGCTGTAGATTGTATCATTCCAGCCTAAGCTAATTTTGACTACCAATAAGGCTTTAACTACCAATTTGATGACTTATAGATGATGGCTTAAATGTTTGTGGGCCCATTAATTGAAGGTTTTTGGATTGATGTGATGGATTAACATGGAAGGCACTGCAAATTGGATGGGAGACAGTGGTGCGAAGTAAACGAAAATATAACTTTGATGGCTGCTGTATAGGCAACCCGGGACCATCTGGTATTGGAGATGTTGTTCCGGATGTGATGCGAAACATGTTATTGTATTTTCTGGGCCAGCTGGGGTTGTGTCTCTCTAAAAGCTCTATTATAGGGGTTAAAATTTCCCCAAATGCTGGTTGGACAGAGTTATGGATGAAGGGGACTGCTAAGTGGTCATAAATTGGATAATGTCAGAAGAGGATGTTCCTTGGAATATAAGGTATCTGGTAAATGAAGCCAGAACTTTGCGTTCTAATCTGAATTGCTTGTTCATGTGGATAAACAGAACTATAAACAGTATGGCAGGCTCTTTAGCAAGATCAGGGGTTAAAAGGTATCTCCTATTCTCGGGTTTACCAGGGCCAGGGGGAGAATCATAATTACTGACGTGGTGTGAATGTGGAGGGTTGGTTAAATGATGTTTCTGTTGTATTCCATTATCCAATTTGGATGGTAGAGCTACATTCTTTCCATTCATAAAACTTTGTTTGTTATTGTTTATCAGCAAAAATGCTTATTCTGAATACAGTAAAAATGTTAAGAAGTGTAATAAACCATCTTATCTTAGATCATTGCATGTTTCTTATTGTTTACTTGAAAATAAGCTTCTCGGTCTCATACTCTTACGCTGAGAGATTTGAGCCCATGAGCTCTTTGTATATCAAAATTTCCTTCTAAGGTGCTTTATTACTAGCCTGCCATTTTAGGAACTTCCAGAGAAGTTTCATTTGGTGTGAGGGAGAAGTGTAGAAATTGATCTGTTGCAGTAGAAAGATCTACAACTCTATACAAATTGTTTTGAAAACTTTCTGAGTTTTTAGCTGAATTCTAGTTGTACACTTGTACCAAAACCTGTTTTGTTTCTAGTCTTGGAACAATATTTGGAGAAAGGCTGGAAGTCTTATTGGAAATATGATGCTAGTCTTGCTAAATAAGCATAGGCCTAACCACCTGAGAACTTGTGTACCTTGTCTCCTGCCCATAGAGATTTTCCCTAGTTTCTTTGGTTATTCAAGATTCTTTAGCTGAGGATCCGAATTTTCTGGGGATGTTGGAGTACATGTAGGGTCCATTGATTGGTGCAATGGTAAAATCCTGGGCTAACAAGTATGAGAACATTGGTTTGAGTCTGTGAGCAGCCAGTTTATGCAAAAAATGCCAAAGGTAAGGTTTGTATCCAGTCCACCAGTCCACTAGTGCAACATCTGGACAGTTGGGACCAACTAATGGGAACACTGGCTCAACTCAGGCCCATGTTCCTAGGCCACTCATCACTCAGATCTACCTTAGGAAGAATAAGAAGAGAGAAGCTCTGGCTCGACCTGCAGTTGAGTCCACGTCAGCCACCCTGCAGTTGAGACAGTTACAACCATGTGATTAGTTAGGATTCAATGCATGTAATCATCCTAGCTATATATGAGGCTATTGGCTAAGGAAGTCAATAATGAAAAAGCATTACCAAGATTCTCCCCTCCCCCCCCTCTCTCTCTCTCTCTTCCTCCTTTGTCCCCTATTAATCCTCTCTTCCATTTCAAGAGGTAGAGTCTCCCTCCGAGAGACTCCAGACGTAAGTTGAACTTACCGGATTGGTATTAGAGCTGTTGGTCTGAGTAGCAATGATGAACACCCAGTTAGTGACTATCGACGAATAGTCTTCCAAAAGGAGAAATCAGTAGTAACCGCTGTCAAGGGTAGTGACAATGAAGAATCAAGCTGGGGTGCAATCGATAGGGTTCGGTTGGTTCTGACAGGGTAACTAAGCTTGATTCCCAACCTTCTATGGAGGAGATTCCATCCCCTGGATATTCAAGGTCAAGCGGTACTTCGAGTACCACGTGATTTTGGGCCACTGATAGGAATCAATCAGCACCCTTGAAGACTTATTCTAGAAAGAAGAAGGCCTTACAACAGGTCTTGAACTCTTGATATGGCATAGTGATGGTGCTTGGGGTTTGGACTGAATTGAACACCAAGGGTATTTTTGCCATTTTATAATTTTTCTATAGGGTCCAATAATAGGGTTTGGTTGTCTAGTTATAGTTTGTTTATGTTTAAAATTTCAGAGTCATTGCATAAATAGGATTAGAGTTATTGAATCTTCTTTGAATTGAAATAGGATATGACAACTTAGTTTGAGTCCTATTATGATTATTGAGTCTAACAATTTGACTCCTAAGACTATTATGAGTCTAACAATTTGACTCCTAGAATTATTATGAGTTTAGAGTCTATAAATATGTATGGACGTTTTACACAAAGGCAATGAATCATACAAGCTGTCCATGAAGATGATAATGGTGAAGATGAAGGATCTGTTAGTCTTAGAGGACGACAAAGAGTTGCAAACTGCACAAGGGTACCACCTGCACAAGCTAATCGACCCGAAATACCCATCAAGGGATTGATCAAGAAGCATCACTCACAAATCTATTTGATGAGATGATGGAACAAGCTGAACATGGTGGTTATGCAGATGATGAGATGATATAACCAAGAAGGTAAAGGTGGATGTTTCTGATTTCAATGGAGATTTAGACCCTCAATCTTTTTCAGATTGGCTGGCTACTCTAGAGGAATATTTTGACTGGTATGACATGACTGATGATTGGAGGATGAGATTTGCACGTATGAAGCTTGGTGGTCATGCTAAAGTATGGTGGAGAAGCATGGAGCGACGATTGGAGAATAGAGGTGATGGTCCTATTTCTACATGGTCAGAAATGAAGAAACATTTAAGAGACAAGTACCTCCCAATGGACTTCCAAGATGAGTTATATGAGGAATTGACTAACCTCAAGCAAGGTACGCTATCTGTAGTTGAATACATGTGTAGATTTGATGAATTATCTATTAGATGTGATACTATTGAAAGTGAGAGGCAAAAGTTGGCTAGATTCAAGAATGGACTACGGGCTGTAATCAAGAAAGAGATGGTAACTGCTCGAGTCTTTAACTTAGAGGATGCCTACGAAGTTGTTGTCAAAATTTAGAAGAGTTTAAAGCAAACAAATACAAGGCAATTTGTATCACAAGCCGGGAAGTATGCATCTCGTAAGCAAGCTGATGGGGGAAAGACTTCTAGGCCAGTATATTCTAATGCCAGCTCTAATAAGCCTATTGGGTCTAGACCTTATCAAGGGGCTGACTATAAGAGTAAATCAGTTGCTAGTGGTGTTACTTAGAAAAAATAACCTGATACTAGTTGTTTTAGATGTGAAGGAAAGGGCCATATGGCTTACCAATGTCCTATCGAAAGCCTTAATATCATTTATGAAGATGGCATTGAACCGGTAGGTGACCCAGGTGACGACTTAGCTGGAGAAGAGGATTATTTCTTCACTGGTTATGATGCTTTAGATGAAGACAACAACTATTTTGGTGTAGTTTGGCATATTCTTACATCCTCAAAGGAAGAAATCAAGGAAGATTGGCTTTGTACAACAATATTTGAAACTACAGAAAAGAGTGGAGACAAGTATTGTAAGCTCATCATAGATGGTGGCAGTAGTATGAATGTGATTTCTGAAGTCATTGTGGATCGACTAAAGTTGACACCACAACCACATCCACAACCATACAAGATTGCTTGGGTTGATAAGACAACAATTCTTGTAACTAAACGAGCCTTTGTAACTATTTCTTATGGTAGTTATTCTGATTCTATTTGGTGTGACATTGTTCCTATGAATGTTACACACATATTGCTTGGAAGGCCTTGGTTGTATGATAGGGATATCTACCATTGTGGAAGGGAGAACACCTATCACTTCCAATTTAATGGGAAGTGAGTTATCATGAAGGCAATGTCACCAGAAGTTATTAAAAGGCATGCTAGACCACCTCAAAAGGAGACTACAGCCCAAGAGCCTGTTGCTGAATCTAAGAAAAAACAATTGCATTTGCTCTCCAAAAAAGAGCTTGAAGTAGAAAGCAAGGGGACAGGAGTTGTATATGTTGTAATATCTAAGGAGGTAAAGCAACCAGATGTTCCACCTACTGAAATGCCTAAAGAAGTGGTCCAAGTGTTGGATGAGTTTTCAGATTTGGCACCAGAAGAGCTGCCTAATGAGTTACCGGCTTACCGCCCATGAGAGACATTCAACATGCTATTGACTTGCAGCCAGGGTCACAATTGCCCAACTTACCAGCTTATCGTATGAATCCTATAGAGCAAGATGAACTTAAATGACAAGTTGATGACTTCCTAAAGAAAGGTTTTATTAGAGAAAGTGTTGGTCCATGTGCTGTTCCAGCTCTTCTCACTCCAAAGAAAGGTGGTTCTTGGCGTATGTGCGTTGATAGCATAGTTGTCAAGGCGCCACCTAGGCGGGCGCCTAGGCGACAAGGTGCCCTTTGAGGCTTGCCTCGCCTAATTGCCAAGCACTTTTTTACTTTCTACTATAAAATACTTTTATTTGAGATTATAATTATAAAATAGACATTATTAAACTAAAAT